CTTCGCGGCCTGCTGGCGGTGCGGGGCGCCGGGCCCAAGAGTCCTCTCGGAATGGGATGGGGCTGTTCCCCTTGTTGCTTTTGTAGCTTCTTAATGGGTTAACCCGCGCGTACGTAGCTGGGGAAAAACAGGGAGGTGATTTCCATGTTATTCCCCTTGGATGTAGTTTACGTTAGTGCTTTGAAGAGGTTCTCAGCCACCACTTTTCATTTCTTGTCCGTCAGGAGTCACAACAGTGCAGAAACGGGCGGGTTCAGCAGATTTTGGGTGTGAAATATAGGATGTGCCCCGAGTGGAGGAACTGCTACAAAGTGTAAACTCACTGAATGACTTCTTTTTTTCTTTTTTTTAAAGACTCTGGCACCAGCTGACTCTGCAGGTTTTGGACTTTGTTCAGGACCCTTGTTTTGCCCAAGGCGATGGACTCATCAAGGTGAAGTGCTCACTTGCTCCCGACTGTTCTGTCTGTAGCAAAGAGGAGTGATGGTATTTTTGTACTGGTGAACAAATAAGTAACCAGTGACTGGTCTGTGGAGAGCTATTAAACTGAGTGATTTCAGTTTTTTGGGACTTGTGTGCTAGGTGTGGCTGTGCAGGCCTTAACGTGTGAAAATCCTGTTAAATTTAAACGTGTCAATTTTAGACTTTTCAAAATGATTCTTCAGTTTTGTTAACTTAAGATTTTTTTTGGGGGGTTGGGTGGGTAAGCAGGGGGAGCCTTTTTCTTTCCCTTTTGTAACAAGGGGTTATGACTGCAGGTGTAGAATGGGTTGGCAGGTGTTCACAGACACCTCAGAGTACTTTGTTCTTTCACCCACTGCCTGGGAGCTCCTTCAGTTTATGAAGAGCATGGCATACACACCCCAGGGTTGCACACGGTGTGCTACAAGTAATCGTGTGCTTTTGCTCTGCTTGTGTTTTTAGGTTAAAACTCAGTTTCCCAGGAGACAGTTATTCCCGTGGCCATGAGCTGTGGGTTTCTGGAGGCAGTCTCATTCTAAATGTGTGCAAAGGGAGGTTTGAAAGCTTTAGGCCTGTGCTTATTATCCTGAGGACATTCACCAGGCCAGCCTGTGGCAGGGAGGTGGTGTCCCATGGTGCCTGCTAGCCTGGGAGATTCCTGAGCAGTGGGAAGGAGACTGCAGAGATAAAATTATCTAAAATAGGTATTTTTCAGCTCCTGGATTCTGTACAGTGTAGGCATTTCTGTGTTGGTTGCCCACTGCTTTGTTGGAAAAATGAATTGGGATACAGTGAAAAGTCCGTGTTGTAACTGAAACGAAATATCATTTTGCCTTGACTGTTCGTGTCTTTGTGCCTACAGCTGTATGAGAACTTCATCAGTGAATTTGAACACAGGTGAGTCAGTTTGCCTGCAAGTTTGTAGGTAACCTGCTGCTGACAGACTGCGCTGACAGAGAGCTCTTTGTTCTAGGGTGAACCCCTTGTCCCTGGTAGAGATCATCCTTCATGTAGTCAGACAGATGACAGGTAAGTGGCCTTACAGTATTTTTATTTACCATTACTTACGGTGTTTTTAGCAGCAGATGCCTGTGAGATTTGACTGGTCAATAGCAACTCAATCTGCAACGTTCAGCTGTTGCTTTTCTGGTGTATTGAAAAGGGAAAGTACCAACTCAAAAAGCTTAAATCCTTGCTGCTGCATAGAGTAGCGAGTGTGCTGCTTTGGTAGGGAAACATCTGTAAGCAGAAAGTCTGGCCTGTGGTAGCAGCACGTTTTGAAGACTGAGCCATACATTACAGAAAAATATGTTCCAGTCTTCATGAATCCAGTAAAAAGATGTATTTCCAGGTTAAGATTTAATTCCACGGGACTTCTTGATTATTATTATTAAAAACAGTGTGACCAGCAGGGCCAGGGAGGTGATCATCCCCCTGTACTGGACACTGGTGAGGCCGCACCTCGAGTGCTGTGTTCAGTTCTGGGCCCCTCACTAGAAGAAGGATGTGGAGATTCTGGAGCGTGTTCAGAGCAGAGCCACAAGGATGGGGAGGGCTCTGGAGAACAAGCCTGATGAGGAGCGGCTGAGGGAACTGGGCTTGTTTAGCCTGGAGAAGAGAAGGCTGAGGGGAGACCTCATCACCACCTCCAACTGCCTCAAGGGAGGTTGTGGAGAGGTGGGTGCTGGTCTCTTCTCCCAGGTGATGGGGGACAGAACAAGGGGAAACGGCACCAAGCTGTGCCAAGGGAGGTTCAGGTCAGAGATAAGGAGGAAGTTCTTTACTGAGAGGGTCGTCAGAAGCTGGACCAGGCTGCCCAGGGAGGTGGTGGAGTCCCCATCCCTGGATGTATTTAAAGAGCGGGTAGATGAGGTACTTAGGGATATGGTTTAGGGGGTAGACAGGAGCGGTTGGACGTGATGATCTCAGAGGGCTTTTCCAACCGAGCAATTCTGTGATTCTGTGATTTTTTGTGTTGTGATTTTTTTGTTGTTGTTGTTTTTTCTCCAGATCCCAATGTGGCCCTTACTTTTCTGGAAAAGACTCGAGAAAAGGTATTTTGGAAATCGCTTTTTCTGGTGGTCCACCTACAGGAATCATTTTGCACATGAGCCTATATGGTATAGGTGAAGAGGCAGATTTGTGTGTGTTGAAACAGGTGCTGGAGAATACCTGTCCCTTTTCTCAGGGAACAGCTCTGTATTTTAATGCAGGAATGTGTTGACAAATGAAATCTGTCAACACAGTCTAGGTTTTAAGAGCTTCCCTAGCTGCAAGGGTAACACTGTCTAAATGTGTATCTTTGTGTAACTACAGGTAAAAAGCAGCGATGAAGCTGTCATTTTGTGTAAAACAGCCATCGGGGCACTCAAGCTGAACATTGGAGACCTGCAGGTCACCAAGGTGAGGTGTTGACTCAAGCAGTTGAAGCGCTGGAGTGTTTGGGGGCACAGTAACACACTTCAGCAGTCACTACAGCGTGGACGTGCTTGTGTCTGGGCTTCAGTTTTGAGTGGCAAGTTGATACATTTGCAGCTCCTGGGATTTCTAGGAAAACCTGCTGTTCTACTTTACATCTTGTATGCCAGAAACGCGGGTGTAGTGCTTCCAGCCAGATCTCTGAAGTTTCAATAAGATTCTGATCCGTTGAGGTGCTGTTGTTTACTGGTGGCCTCCAGCTGAGCACTGCAACTGTTGGTGGGCAGAGCTCGAAAGACATGGAAAAAAGACGTATTCCAGTTCACAGCTTCAGTGTATATGCTGCTAGTTGGAGAGCTGCTAACAATGACTGAATTACTGCTTAGTTTCCTGTTGACTTCTTAATCTCTTGGCTCTTTTTAGAACCATCTCTTAAAGTTAAGATGATGGGTTTTTTATGCAGTGCAGCTTTATGTCTCTTGGAGCCAGCACAAACTTTGATGGGTTTAGTGGGTATAAGTAAATGTAAAGCATGTGTCTATATATGTATATAATTATAGCTGCAGGGTTGTTCAGGGGCGGTTTGGGGTTCCTTTTTACTCTGTTTTGTGAAGGGAGAATGCCACTGCCTTATTTTCAATGCTGCAGTGGTGGCTTTGGCTGTGGTCTCATCTGCTGTACTACTGAGTGGATGTTACTCCTGGACCACCCAAGAATGCCACATGGTGGTGAACGAGAAGGCTGGGAGCACAGGGGTGTGAGAGATGTGCCTTCACCTGTAACAAACAAGTTTCACTCTCCTCTAGGAGACCATTGAGGAAGTTGAGGAGATGCTGAACAACCTCCCCGGGGTGACTTCAGTTCACAGCCGCTTCTATGATCTCTCCAGCAAGTACTACCAGACGATTGGGAATCATGCCTCCTACTATAAGGATGCTCTGCGGTTTTTGGGGTGCATTGATGTTAAAGATCTGCCAGGTAGCTCCTCCTTTGCCAATCAGAAAGTCCCGTGTTTCATTCTCTGTGTCATCACGTCAGTTTAAGTAAATGCACTGGCAGAGCACAGGTTTTCCAAACATTATTTTAGATCTGCCCTAGCTGGGCCAGGATCTGTCTAACAGGAGGAAGAGCCCACAAGAAGAAACAGCCAAGTAGAATCCTGCTCCTGAGCTGCATTGAGGTGATGAGAGGGAGAAAGTGCTGCCACCAGAAGGGATAGTTTGTTGTAATTCCCCACTTTGTTGTAATTTCCACTTCAATTGGAGAAGAAACTTCTTCTCAGTGAGGGTAACAGAGCCCTGGCCCAGGCTGCCCAGGGAGGTTGTGGAGTCTCCTTCTCTGCAGACATTCAAAACCCGCCTGGACACCTTCCTGTGTAACCTCATCTGGGTGTTCCTGCTCCGGCAGGGGGATTGGACTGGATGAGCTTTTGAGGTCCCTTCCAATCCCTAACGGTCTGGGATTCTGTAAAAACCTTCAGTATAAATTCAAAAAGTGCTGTAGTTGCTGCAGGCTTTCAAATTTTGGGCTTGGGAATCGGGTAAAAGAAAGGGCTGGGAATGTTGTAATGTAGGCATGGAGAGTAGGATGAGGGAGGGGTTGATGAGGCTTAGCCTACTGCTTCATCCAAACTTGTCTGTCTGTCTGTATTTTCCAGTATCAGAGCAGCAGGAGAGAGCCTTTACCCTGGGACTGGCAGGGCTCTTGGGAGAAGGTGTTTATAACTTTGGGGAGCTGGTAAGTTGATGCTGCATTCCTTCACTTGTTGAGCATCAGGCACTGATTTTACCTTACGAATGCTGTCCTGCCTGGTTTCTGCAGCTCATGCACCCCGTTCTGGAGTCCCTGAGAAACACCGATCGGCAGTGGCTGATTGACACACTTTATGCCTTCAACAGTGGTAATGTAGAGACGTTTCAGGCTTTGAAGTCGGCGTGGGGTCAGCAGGTGAGTGGTGTTGCAGTATTGCTTAAGGCCTAGGTTAAATATTTACAGAACACACTTAGATTTTGTGGACCTTTACCTTAAGAATTCCCAGATCTGGTGCACTGGAAGAATTTTAATCATAACATAGGAATGTTTCTTTCATCTTGTTACGTGCCATTAATTTTCTGTTGGCTTCCCTCTGCGTGTGGTTGATTGAAAGAAGTAAAGAGAAATCCCTTGTGATCCAAGGGCAAAGCAAACAAAAACGTCATGCAGTCCTGCACAGGAAGATAATCTCTGATTTAATTTCAATAGTGCCTTTCACTCCCAGTATTAAACTGCTTTCAATGTAAAATAGTTCTTTTCCTGTGTGTTCTGGGAAGTTTGAGAAAAACAATGGTGCTGGATATTAACTACCCTGGCTATACCAGCAATGATTCACAGAGCAGTAGTTTACAGGTCAGCTTGTCTGTCCCCTTGTGGAGGTCTGTGGCCTTTGATAAACGACTGCCTGCCTTGCAAAGTGCTGTGTTTAATTGTGCAGTTCTTGTGATTTGTTTTATGGACCCATTGCCAGGTAGAGGGCGGGTTGTAACAGTCTCCTCCCTTGTAAGGGAGGGTGGTGGGTCCTCATGTGGCTTACTCCTGTGTGTAGCTTGTTCTGCCCTGAGGTGAAGGGGGAAGGTAATAATGAATGTACTTGTTCCACTTTATCCTCTTACAGCCAGATCTGGCTGCAAATGAAGCACTTCTGCTGCAAAAGATTCAGCTGTTATGTCTGATGGAGGTGAGCTGGGGATTATGATGTGCTGAATGTGGGAAATGGGAAGGGACTGCTCCAGCTGCCTTTTGGGGGCTGTTAGATACTCTGTTCTCTGCTGGATGTATTCATTTGCTCCTTACAGAAACCTGTGGGTATAAATAGTTCACTGTAAATTTTGCCTCTAGGTGGTGCCAGAAGGTGAATTTTGCTTGGGGGTAAGGAGGAAGCCTGGTGCAGTTCTACTTGTTTGCAGTTTCAAGGGTTTTATCTTTCAGGCAGGATATGGAGGTGAGGGGCTCTTTAGTTTGCAGAAGAGGAGACTGAGGGGAGACCTCATTCATGTTTATCAATATTTAAAGGATGAGTGTCACAAGGATGGAGCCAGGCTCTTCTCGGTGACAAACAATGATAGGACAAGGGGTAACGGACACAAACTGGAACACAGGAGGTTCCACTTCAATTGGAGAAGAAACTTCTTCTCAGTGAGGGTGACAGAGCCCTGGCCCAGGCTGCCCAGAGAGGTTGTGGAGTCTCCTTCTCTGCAGACATTCAAAACCCGCCTGGACACCTTCCTGTGTAACCTCATCTGGGTGTTCCTGCTCCGGCACTGGATGAGCTTTGGAGGTCCCTTCCGATCCCTAACGTTCTGTGATTCTGTGAGAGAATGTTGTTGCCTAGGAAATGTGCTTGGAGCAGCAAAGTGTGTCTGGAGGAAGGGAGCGGTACTACTCCTTTCTGCTGATGTAAATGCATTTTTCTTTGAAGTATTTTGATTAAACACGGGAAATGCAGTTGCTGCTGCAGATTGAGAGCTCAGCAGGGCAGTGCGAGGGAAGCTGTGCGCACTGTTTGGAAAAAAACCCTAAAGCTTTGTGGGATTGATTTATTTGTTTTCTTTACTTGAATCCAGATGACTTTCACCCGACCAGCCAATCATAGACAGCTCACTTTTGAAGAGATTGCCAAGAGTGCCAAAGTCACTGTGAATGAGGTGAGTTCAGCATTAGACAAACTTACTCATGTCTGAAGCTCTCAAAGTGTCGGGGCAGACCTGCTCGTGTAGGTGAAATCGAAGTAGAAATGTTCTCCAGTTCTTGTGCATCTGGAGAACTTTTTAAGAAGGAATTAACTACTTGGTGCTCCTTTGTCTTGGTAAACACATTTTTTTGAAGATCCTTAGTTATAGTCTTAAGCTGGAGAGGAGCTCTGTTCCCACCTGCTCTTGAAAGCAGGCCTTTGGATTAGGTTATGCAGGGCCCTGCCAAGCTGTCTTGAGTATTTCCAGCAAGAGGAAGTGTCACTGATGTTTAGTTTTTCTCACGGTGAAGAACTTTTTTGTTATGCAAATGAAATCCCTGCTGAAGCAAGTTCTGCCTGTGGTCTTCTGTCCTTTCACCATGTGAAAATACCTTTTATCTTCTATGTTACTGCCTTTTAGGTACAGGAAGACTGTGATGAGGTACCCCTTGAGCTGCCTCTTACCTAGGCTGAACAAATAGAATTTCTCCAGAATGTCAAGTTCTCGCCTTCCTAATCTTAGTGGCCCATTGCTAGGTCCTCTCCAGTTTTGGAATGCCCCCTTTAAGCTGAAGGGGGTGATGCAAACTGACAAGTGCTGGGTGGAATAGTGGCATCCCTTCATCTGCTGGTTGTGTTCTTATGCAGACCAGGACGCTGTTCCCCTGGCTCTTTCGCAGTTTGCTGCCCCCCGCCCCGACTTTGCTCAGTCTCTTGAGGTCTCTCTTCATGGGGCTCTTATCTCCAGCACATCTACCTCTCCCTACCAGTTTGGTGTCACTTGTGAAATTGCCATCCAGCTTAAAGATAACTGAATAGTATCAGACCCACCATCAGCCCCCACAGAGCGCTACTTGTGAGCAGCTACCTGTTCAGCTTCAAGCCACTAACTTCTGTGGTCTGAGCTCAGTATTCTAGATTTTCCACTCATCTTGTGGTCCTTCTGTTTGTTCTGTAGCTTACCAGCTTGTCAACAAGGATGTGGTAGAAGGTCTTGTTGAGCACTTTGCTTAAAAGAAAGGTACAGATCCCCTACAGTGCTCTCGCCGACCGGTGAGCAAGTTTAATTTAAAAAGGCAGTCATATTGGTTGAGCACATCTTACCTGTGGTAAATCCGTGTTGGCTTTCCCCAGTTACCTTGTTCTTCCTGGGATTTCAGAGAAAATAGAATAAATCTGCTCGTAGGGAAAATAAATCTCTCCTGTGTATTTCGACGTCAATCCTCGGGCGGTATTATAACCTGAAAGAGGATGGATGTGAGAGGCTGTGGCTGCTCTTGGTTTGGTTGTGTGTGGTAAACACTCTCTTCCAAAAGTTAGTGCCATTTAAAGGTGTTATTCATCCAGGGAAGTGGGGGGGGGCAAGTGAGTGGTTCTCAGTTGTTTATTATTTTTATTATTTTTAGGTGGAGCTGCTGGTGATGAAGGCGCTCTCGGTAGGCTTGGTGAAGGGCAGCATTGACGAGGTCGATAAGAGGGTGCACATGACATGGGTACAACCACGCGTGTTGGACTTACAGCAGGTAATGACTGGCTTGAATATTGAGGCAGTGCTTATTTGTTTAGTCGTGTGAGGTGACCTGGAAATTGAAATGAGAACTGTGAAGGGCCACGGCTTGAGAATTAGTTTCCTTTGTGCTTACTGGGAAGTAAGCAGCTTCTCTTCATTCTTTTTTTAATTTACATTGCTGCATTTAGGTCTTGCTTTGGGTATATGGTGCATTTTGTGTCTGTGTTTTGCAGGAGGTAGGTAGAAACCTGTCAGGAAATAGGATAGGGTATTAGTGACGCCTCTCTTAAAGCCACACAAACCACCATGTAACGCAAATGCTATGACTCTGTTTTCCAGAAGGGTGCAGGGATCTGTGTGGCTGCTTCAAGTCTAAGTGCATGAAACAGTCTTGGGAGTTTTTGGATTGTAGGTGACACGCTTGCCTTGGGAAGAGAGAAGTTCAGGGTGCTAAAGACAAAGGTGCTGAGCTTGGGTTCATCCTCATAACGTTTTAGGAGACTGTATAGAGTGCTTTTACCTTAAAAATATAAAAAATCATTACCTGGAATACCAGCTGCAAACAATTCCATTTGTGTGTTTAAATTTGAAGCTAAACGTTGCTGTTTTGATGGTAGTTGATGCTAAGTAAAGTCTTTCCTAGAGGTACGGGGTTTTGAGAAGTTGGTTGTCCTTAAGGGTGAATATCAGCATCTCCAGTAGCCGAGGCATTAAAAGTCATTGTGTGCTTGCCTTGCAGATCAAAGGGATGAAAGACCGCCTGGAGTTCTGGTGCACGGATGTGAGGAGCATGGAGATGCTGGTGGAGCACCAGGCTCATGACATCCTGACATAGAGGAACTCGCGCTACCCCCGGGAGTGGAATTTCTGCTGCTACTGACGCTGGCAGCACTCAGACCACTGACTCTGTACTGAATTCTGTTGAAGGGGGGTGGGTGGGCAGAGGGGGGAGCAGCTTTTCGACGCTTGTTCGGAGGAGTAAGTGGCCTTTTGCTGTGTAACCCTTTGGTGCTTGGAGTCAAGATTTCCCTATCCGCTAACGTGAGCGGCACTGATCGTGAGAGCCCTGTCCTGCGCTTGTGAAAGGGAGGACAAAGGCTCCGCCGCAGTTGATTTATCAGTCCCGTCATCGCACTGGTGTGGGAGGATGTGAGTGATGCTGGTTGTGTGTTCCAGGAGCAGAGGCTGTTTGCTGGGTAGAGGGGCAGCAGAAGCTCCTTGCTGAAAAGGTGCCTGACTTGTACGTGGTGTTACTTGGTGGAATTGGGCTTAGGAGGGCAGGATCTTCCCTGGTTACCTCTGCCCCTGCAGCAGCCCAAAGGCAGCATTACTGAAATCATCGTTCTCCTTTGCCCTCTTTTTCCACCACCCCTCTTCCTCCTCATCTGCAGTAGAGGGAGTGTTTACTCCATCAAAGGGTTTTTTCCAGGATTACTGTTTAGTGGATGTGTTTTTATATACTTTTGGGGGTGGTTGTCTTTTACGAACGCTTTGTGCTGGAGCGAGGCGCAGCAGTGTCGCTGGAATAAACTTCTCTGCCTTCCCTTTTCTGTAGTTCTGTGTTTGTTGTCTCCGTAACTTGCAGCTGAGCCTCTGATCTGTTTAAAATCACGCTTCCTTCTAAGTTTCACGTTACAAAACCTCTCTGTCCAAGAACATACAGATTAAACAGTCTGTTAATTACCCTTGGGGTTGGTGTGTAAGTTACTTGGCATGCAGTACTTTCTATGTACTTTGTCAAGCCCTTTCTGTGGGAAGCTGTAGTCCTGATGCCTTTTCTCAAGTTGAGTAAACGTGACTGACTGGAAAAGCCAAAGACCCGAGACAACGAGTTCCTGTTTTGCTTTTTGCCTCTTACTAACCGCTTTCAAAGCTTTCTGTACTGTCACTGTTTTGCCCTGGTGCTGCTGCGATGTCTTTGGAGGGATGGAAGATAATTGCACATACTGAGAGTTGGAAACCAATGCAGACCTGACCTGGGGGCTACCTCCAGGTATCCATTTGGGTGCATAATGCAACAGCAAACTACGCTGAGGTTCATAACAGCAACTTTAAATTGAACAGGATCTTACTTGCACACCTGGCTAAATTCCTCAGGATCCAAGTGGATTTTTAAATGCTGCTTTCGATGTGTCCGTAGTTGGTTCTTGCATCGCAGTGCCGGTTTTGGTTGCTACTGTGATTGAAGAGCTGTAGTTGCCAGTTTGATTTTTCTAATGGAATTTCTATACTTTGTGTGCTTTTTCCAGGTTGTTGTCTTGACTTGGAGGGTTTAATGCCAGCAATGGAAAAAAAAAAGAAAGCACCTGGCTGATGCCGCACTGCTCTGTGGATGCAAAGGTGCTTCAGGCAAGGGCGACTTCAGCTTTTTAAATGCAACAAGAAACTTGAATTGTCAAACCCTCTACCTGGTCACCCCCTGCCCTTCTGCCTCTCTAATCAGTTCTGGCCTGAATTTCTTCCTGGCTTGGAGTTGTTTGGTTCAGAACACCCACCTGTGCCTGTCCAGCCCAGCAGTTCTGTCCTTGTTCAGCTGTTGGAGGCTGTACTGAACCACCCCCTTTTCTCCTCCTGTGCTGTGCTGTTTGACTTTCCCTAGATCATGCTTCATCTTCCCTTCCAAAGCTCCTTCCTGATCTCACTGTTACTGACTGCGGAAGAGCATGCAGAGGACACCGCATCTGGAATATTGTGTCCAGTTCTGGGCCCCTCAGGTCAAGAAGGACAGGAACTGCTGGAGAGAGTCCAGCGTAGGGCTACAAAGATGATGGAGGGAGTGGAGCATCTCCCTTCTGAGGAGCGGCTGAGGGAGCTGGGGCTCTTTAGTTTGCAGAAGAGGAGACTGAGGGGAGACCTCATTCATGTTTATAAATATTGAAAGGGTGAGTGTCACGAGGATGGAGCCAGGCTCTTCTCGGTGACAAACAATGATAGGACAAGGGGTAACGGACACAAACTGGAACACAGGAGGTTCCACTTCAATTGGAGAAGAAACTTCTTCTCAGTGAGGGTGACAGAGCCCTGGCCCAGGCTGCCCAGAGAGGTTGTGGAGTCTCCTTCTCTGCAGACATTCAAAACCCGCCTGGACGCCTTCCTGTGTAACCTCATCTGGGTGTTCCTGCTCCGGCAGGGGGATTGGACTGGATGAGCTTTTGAGGGCCCTTCCAATCCCTGACGGTCTGGGATTCTGTGACACAAGAGTTCTGATCAGAAAAACGCTTCCTTTATTTCATAGCTAAGGACAGGAAAAGAGCTTCAAAACGTGCAAACTCCCGAGTAGTGTCACGTCACTGCGTGTTGGGAGTCAATGAGGAGCCACTGTGTGGTGAAGCTAACGCGCTGTGGGGCTGCTGTGGCTTTAGATGAGCACCAAGAAAACGTGGAGGGTAACAGACGGTGCTGAAGTCTTCTCCTGAGCATGTTGACAGCCTCCTTGTACGGTGGGGCGTGCTTGCTTGTATGCAGATTTCTGAGCAGCTCACTGCAGTGAGGGGGGAGACCTGCTGTCTCAGGGAACTGTGGTGGTTTCAGGTTTTCCCCAGGTGGTATTTGCTACCCAGACCTTCCTGTGTGGGAGCAAGTGCTTCCCTAACACAAGTAATGTGGGAAATCTGGTGTGTCTTTGGGCAACGGTGAGGTTCATCACGCAGGGAAAAGTCAGATGTGCAGCACCCAGACTGAGGACCATTTTAAATGTCCCTTACAGCCTTTGAGGATTTTCTTCCTAAGGATTTAACTTGAATTTTTGCTCCCTTGGTATCTGCCTTATGCTTCGTTGCAGCTGCACAGTGTAAAAGCTCGAGTGGGAAATGTGCCTTCCCGTTGCAAATGTACGGAGGAAAACGGCCTTTAGAGCAGCGAGCTGCCCAACAGCAGGGTTACAGATCCACTCCCCTGTGAATGAGCACATGGTTGAAGCAAACCCAGCAAGCCATTATGCTGAGTGCTAACGTGAATGTTAACGAACAAACTCAAGAGAGCTCCTTCCCCGTGAAGATCTGTTCTGCAGCCTTATCTTCCCTCGTGTTTCTGCTCCCAGCAGGGTGGTTCCTGCCACTTCTCAATCTCCTCTGCTCTTGTAGTGACCCACATGTGCCAGGATCCAGGCTGTTGGCCCACATGTGGACGCAGCTTGGGGCAGTGGGAGGTTTAGGTCAGCACAGGGGTTTCCACCACTGGTGCACCAAGCGGGTTGCTCTCTAGGTTTGTTTCCATCACTCTCTGTTTCTCTGTCACGATACTGGGAAATCAGAGCAGCTTGTGACCTTCAGCCAGCTGCGAGGCCCAGATTCCCAGTGTTTCCCGAAGCAGCCATGCCTGGCTTTCAGATGACTTTGAGGCGTGAATTGCAACCAGCGGCAGCCTCTTCTGTTTCTGATGCAGCAGGGCAGCACTGTCACCTTTATTTCTCTTTTTATTTGGCTAGAAAAAAAGAGTCTCCAGGCTGGTAAAGCTCTTTGTTGCAGACCTTGGAAAGGCAGCAGGGGGTAAACTCCACAAGCAAGGGGTGGAGGAGGGACCCAGCCACAATTTTTGGGGAAAAGCTTCATTTTCCAAGCTCATTTCCCCCAGCCCAGGAAGATCTCAGCAGCTGGAGTGGCTGCTGGTTTGGTGGGGATCATCCCCAGAGGGAGAAATGCCAGGGGGACCTGCCTGTCCTGGCTCTGCAATGACAGCAGAGCAGATCTCAGCCTTATCCATGGGATGCCTGCTTTGGGGTGAGTGTCTCATGGAACTTTGGGGGGGATAAGGGGCCCAGGTCTGTCCCTCGAGGGACTGCCAGTGCCACTGCCACCTCCTCTCTGAGGTCCTCAGGCTGCCCTATGGCTTAGGCTCCCTGTGGGGAACCTTGGGCTGCAAGGGACTCTCAGCAGGTACCCTAAACCCCAAAGGTTAGAAAAGGGGCAGAAGGGATAAAATAAAATGGAAGCAAGAGCCTGAAGCAGGGGAGTAGGGCATGTACCCCCCACCATGGGAGTGCAGTCAGAAGCTTGCACAGTTCTGGGGACACCTTTCCTTCCTTTTGCCCCCCTCTCCTTTTGCAAAAATACTCTGACTGTAATACAGAGGGGGAGTTTGTGCCCCTCGGAGCAGTTGGCTCCCTCCCCTTTTCAGCCCCCCCCAAGCCACTCACAGCAGCAGAGAGTGGATGTTTGGGTGGCTTGGAGGTGACCAGCACCCAGGGAACTCGTGGCAAAAGAAGCTTTTCCCCAGTGCAGTGGCCAGCAGCCGAGAGAGCCGCTGAAAGCCCCGCATCGTGGTGGCACGGCCAGCGTGCTGCTCCTGTCACTGCGGCTGGGCTGCAGCCGCCCAGCCCCTCACCACCTCCGCAGGGAGCCCACTGCTCTCCCCAGGGCACGGCCTTAACCCTTAAATGGCAAGGTTTTCCCAAATTGCTCATTACTTAGGTTTCTTTCCTTCCCTTAAGGATCTTTTGTTTCCCTAGCAGCACCCAACTCCCCACGCCTCCGAGGTCAAAACCCATGTCCCTAACCAGCCAGGTGGGACCCCTCTGTGATGCTCTGCTGCAGACCTCTTATCTCGGCCTTTTAAAAACTTATAACGCTTAAAGCACCATGTACTTTCCTAAGCTGCTGCAGATGTGATGCCTGATCTCTGATTGCGGTGTGCAGGACCTTGCTTGTCCTGTCTGTGGCAATGGCTTCTATTTCCTTCACACAGGCTCCTCCTTACGTGGTGGTATCCATCAACAAGCCCCGCAACCACAGATACCCTCAGGTGCTGATGGATCTGTTGCTGGTGTTTGATCAAGCTGGGCTGGGTTTTGCGAAAGCAACTTGCCCCAACCTGCAAGAGGAAGTGGCTGAAAGCCTTGGGACCTCCGAGGTGTTGGTGCTCGTCAGCAGGAGGAACAAAGCCCTCTCACCTTCAACACATACTTGCTTTGCTGAATAACCCGGCTGTGTCCTTCTCGCCCATGAACACAGCTCTGCGGAAAGTTTGCCGGGATTTGTACAGACCTGCTCAGAGGTCTCCTTCACAGAGTCAGAAATGCTGCTCCATGGCTGCAGCAGGCTCTTCTGCAGGGTGAAGCTGGGTCTTGTCTTTAGAAGGACGTCAGAGCTCTTTTCCCACAGCAACTGTCTTGGGAAAGTGCAGGTTTTTACCTTAAAAGTGACCCAAGGGGCTGCATGGACTGTGACTGACCAAGCACGCTTTCGTTGATGAAAGATGACTGCTGAAATTTAAAAGCAGCGACAGAATCCTCTTAGCTTGTATCTTCTGCTTGCAGCTGGCTTTCCGGAGGATTTCCCTCTGATTCCCTGCTCATCAGAGCTCCCCCAACCAGCTGGCAGTCCGTAATCGCTCCACGCAGCAAACACGAAGCTGGGGGATGGCAGAGCCTCTGACAGTAAAGATTTTTCCTTTGAGCAGTTTCCCAAAATGCCTGCCTCTGTGAGACAAGGGCAAGGAATAAGTGACCCTCAGGAAACCCCCCCTAGATGACAAGAACCGCAGCTCCTGTGTGCACTGGTCCCACGGCTGCACTGCTCTGCTGTTTGCTAGCGCTGAAGTGGGCACCTCAAATCCCCTCTCGCTGCCAGCCCTCCTGTGTTCAGCATTTTGGGGTGTGAAGGAGGGGGGGCCATTCCTGTGCCACAGTGCCAACCTGAAAACCCACTTAGAGACTTCCTTTTGCTGCTGTAGATCAAACTTCTCGTCGGTGGCAAAAGCTGGTGTCAAGGAGCATTGCTGGGGTTAACAGGGGCGACAGCGAGAGCGGCCGCGCTGCTCCGGGTCGGCTGTGTTCTCTGTGAACCAGAGCACCAGAATAATCTCGTTGTTGAGGAGCTAAGCCTTGCAAATTCTGTTTCGAACAGGAAAGGACCACTTAAAATCTTTGAGAAGCTGGGGAAACAGCTGGTGGTGAAGGACAGATGTGGTTAACGGATTTCCCCTGAAATTCTTTGAGACATTTATGGTGGTGAGGTATGAGTTTAGATCCCTGAACACGAAAGGAGCAGAGCTGGGAGCAAATACCAACGGTTGGGCTCTGCCCTTTGCTGCTGGTCAGGGTTGCTCCAGGGCATCTCTGGGGTGTCTGCAGCAATGGGATGGATCCATTGGCTCTGCTGTGTGTGAAGGATCGCCCCCCCTGGGCTGCTTTCCTGGTGAACCTGGAATGCTGGTGAGCAGGAGGCCAGGAGCAGCCAGCACAGGAGAGCTCTGTGACCCTTTCCACCCCTTGCTTTGGTAAGGAAGGCCTGCAGCAGCTCTTTTTCTTAACCCTGACACCCTTGGTGCTCCTCTTCCTGTTCCTCAGCTTCCTCCCTGGGTGTTTTCTGGCAGGAAGGCCACTCCAGGACATGTGTGTCCATGGAAAACCCTCCTTTTGGTCCTGTTGAGCACAGCCGGACCCAGAGGTGGGACAAATGCCACTGCCTTTGTCTGTGCCCCCCAGTCTCTTCCCTACAAGTGTCACAGAATCACAGAATCACTCGGCTGGAAAAGCCCTCTGAGATCATCACGTCCAACCGTTCCTGTCTACCCCCTAAACCATATCCTTAAGTACCTCATCTACCCGCTCTTTAAACACATCCAGGGATGGTGACTCCACCACCTCCCTGGGCAGCCTGTTCCAGCTTCTGACGACCCTCTCAGTAAAGAACTTCCTCCTTATCTCTGACCTGAACCTCCCTTGGCACAGCTTGGTGCCGTTTCCCCTTGTTCTATCCCCCATCACCTGGGAGAAGAGACCAGCACCCACCTCTCCACAACCTCCCTTGAGGCAGTTGGAGGTGGTGATGAGGTCTCCCCTCAGCCTTCTCTTCTCCAGGCTAAACAAGCCCAGTTCCCTCAGCCGCTCCTCATCAGGCTTGTTCTCCAGAGCCCTCCCCATCCTTGTGGCTCTGCTCTGAACACGCTCCAGAATCTCCACATCCTTCTTCTAGTGAGGGGCCCAGAACTGAACACAGCACTCGAGGTGCGGCCTCACCAGTGCCCAGTACAGGGGGATGATCACCTCCCTGGCCCTGCTGGTCACACTGTTTTTAATACAGGCCAAGATGCCGTTGGCTTTTCTGGCCACGTGGGCACAGTGCTGGCTCATGTTAAGCTGACTGTCTGTTCTCTCTGGGGCTGCCAGTGGTGGACTTGAAGCTGAATCTGGAGGGGCTCATCCCACCTCGCTCAGGAGGAAGCAGTGAGAAGCCTCCACCTTCCCCAGGCAGCAGCTGGCAGGGATGTGCTGTCTTTCACTGCTTCTGGACCAAGGAGCCGCATTGCTGCTTCCATAACACCAACATCAGCTGTGCTCGAGTCAGACATTGGCTTCTTTGTGTATTTACAGAGAGAACAGATGTGTAATGTCTATCCTGTAAATGCTGGATTGTTCAACAAGATAATCCTCTCAGCACTGGGCAGTGGGCAGGGAAGAGGGCAGGAAAGGCTTGGAAGTGGAAGAGATGTAGGATTAAGTAACTTGGGAGCCTCTATCTTCTGTTGAGTGTTGACAAGTGGAGGCATGTCTGGGATCCAGGGGTGGTATCCACTTAGATCCACAGTAATTTGCTCTTTTTCCCCCCAGATCTCCCCTCTCAAGTTGGGTTTGTAACACAACATTTCTGTGCTGTCCTACACTTGCCGTGTTTGATGGAAACTGAAAGTGTCTCCACAGGGGCCGTCGTCTCCCTTTGCTGCACAGCATGACCCGGGGTGAATTTTGGCTGTTGCATTTGACGGTGATGAGATGTGCTTTTTGTCTCGTGTGTGACACGAGGCAGCTCCAAAAAAACCCTGCGGAGAAGCGGACAGCTTGAACCTTTGCCACAGTCAGGGGACTCGAGCGTGGCACTGTGACTGCCGGCTGCCTCCAGGGCCTGCACCGGTCAAACTCAGTCATGGATCTCTTTGGAGAACCACATTGCAGCAAGGCGAGAACTGGGCCGCGGTCACATCAGGGCAAGGAGCCTCTTGGGGACAGGCGCTGTGTCCGAGACAGGGTGACCCCAGCATGTGGTGAGGCTCATCCTGGGGAAGGATGGGCGTTTTCCTGTGTAAGGATGGGTGACCTGGCCCTTCCTGGGGACAGCTTGGTAAAACGCTGCCCTGTCTGTACCTGTGATGGGAGGCGTTAGGAGCTGAGTGTCAGCAGTGCCCCGGTGGTGCAGAAAGTCAGCACGAAGCACTCACTGGGATGGGTGCTGTGCCCGAAAAGGTGAGCTGTGGGGGCAGTAAGCTGGGAAAAACGTGGCCCAGCTGAAGTCTGGCTCAGTGCCCTCCAAAAGCAGGCGCGGAGAAGTGCAAGAGCGTGACAGGGGAGGAAGGGTGGTTTTGGCACCTTGCTCCTGCTACGGAAGCTGCCCCCCCTGCACCCCGGCCCTGGAGCAGCTACAGCTTTGCACTGTGGGTGTTGCTTCATTTCTCAAGTGGCTTTTAGGTGATAAATCATCGCAGACTGGTTTTTCCTCTCAGTGATTCCTTACCTGGAGGGCGAGGCAGCCCCAGGACCTCTGTACTCCCCACTGTAAGCAACAAGCTCAGCTGGGCAAAAACCTGCACGTCAAGAGTTGGGATTTTTATTTTTATTTTTTTTTAAGGACAGGGGGAGGAAAAAAAAAAAGTTATTTCCTTCCTTCTTTCTCAGTGGTGTAACTTCCGTCCTTCCTTCCTTCCTTCCACACAGGAGCCCCACGGCAGCAGCCTCCGCCTGCCCAGGCCACAGGCAAGAGCAAACCCTGCTTTCCATATCCCTCTGGTTGGTTTGTTTGTTTGAACTTTCCCGAAGGCAGCAGGAGGATCTTTCTCCCCATTCAGTCTCAGGCGCTGCCTGGTGTGAGGAAACTGAGCTGACCTGGAGAGCTGCCACCAGCTGGCTCCTGTTGGGGAGGGATTTTAGGAACTCCCAGCCTGGCCAGGGTGAGCTCTCGCTGCTCTCCGTGCTACCCTGGCTTTCCAGCTCTGCCTGGGGAGTCTCTCCGTGCCTGACTTTTATCCTTTCCATGTTATTCTAGTGTTCAGTACTGCCAGGCACCAGCTACAGCTCCCTTTTGTAAGGTGCTGCTTTTATATGTGTGTATTTTAATATGTATTTATATATTTATGTTAATATAGTGTTGTCCTGGGATTGAATTACTTTCCTTAGAGCAGCAGAGAAGATTTTTTTGTTCTCATTTTCACCAGTGGGTGTTGATGTTTTTCAAGGTTTGTTTTTCAGTCTTTTGACCTGTTCTTGCGGTTGCAGTTTCATTTGTCTTGGTTTGGTGGGTTTTTGGCGGTGGTTCTCTTTTTGGTTTTCTTTCTCTCTCTCTGTACGAAAGCACAGAGGGAAGTGAAAGCCCAGGATTCTCTGGGACAGGTGACCCAGGACAGATGATATATAAACATATATTTTAATATATAAAAAATATACCTTTTAATGTGTTTATATAAATCAATGCAATAAAAAACTGCCCCAGCAAACTAGTAACTGAAGCTGAGCTAGAGATGCAAGAGTGAGGGAAAGCACTGGGGTTCAGTGAGATGGGGAGCACGGGGGCATAGTGAGCTGGGAAATGGGGAGCTGCTGAGGGCACAGAAGGGTCTTTAAGAGGGGCACAGAAGAGCTTTGGGAGGAAGAGGAGGAAAGGAGGAAGTTGGCTGTACTGCAGCAGGAGAAACTGGTGAGACTCTGTCATGGAGAGGGCAGCAGAAGAGGAAGAGGGAGGTGGAAACTGGAAAAGCAACAAAATCGATGGGTTGGTGAGGTTTGGGTGAGCTGGACGAGCCGCCTGTGGGTGGAGAGAAGAGGGAACATGGGGAGTTGTGAGGGAGGAGGTGAGCCTGGGTGGAGGAGAACTGCCCCAGGAGCTGGGATGGAGGAAAACCACTGGTGTAGAGGTGTTGGTGGTGACAGGAGGGGAGACTGAAAGAAATGGAGAGCCTGGGAATGTAATGAGGCTGGATGCAGGTGAGCAGCTGTCTTTGCTGGTGGCCAGGAAGGTCGCAGAGGGAGCAGCAGTTTGTAGCCCCTGTTTGCAGCCGGTGTCCAGCACAGCCACGCTCAGCCTGTCCTGGCTTTGTCCATTCAACCCTGGTACCTGACCCTGCTGTTGTTCTGCAGCTCAGGTTGGTAAAAATGGCTGATGGCAAAGCAGACCCTGCTGTGTTCACCTCCACGTCTCTGCCCTCGGACCCACGGCTGCTGCCTACAGTCACCAACGCTTACCTGGGCACCCGCGTGTACCGGGACATCCTTCACGTCAACGGCGTGTACAACGGGGCGGTGGGAGACACGCACCGCGCCGACATCCCCAGCCCCGTCAACGTGAGGATGACGGCGCCTGGCGCAGATAACGTGGCTGAGACCTTCACCGTGAACACCCGGACAGGTACATGGCAGAGCAGGCAGGAATCTCCCTGTCCCGCTGCCTCCTTTCAGATCTCCATCTTGGTCATTCATAGCTCTTGCCCTCCAACTGCTGGTGAAGTTAAAAGTCTCTTGCTTGTGTTGCCTCTTCCTCAAGGTCGCATCTTTCTTCTCTCCATTCACCTGCAGGGTGTTGTTCTTCTGAATTCATGAGAGAGGAAGTGGAAAATTCCCCTTTCTTGTGGGAATAAGAGTAAATCTTGTGAGATATTCAGGCTGTGTCTCGGTCTCTGCTGGAGTCAGAGACTGTTTAATCGTGAAGCCTGGTAAAATGTTATAAATCTTGTGAGCTTTTCAGGCTGTGTCTCAGTCTCTGCTGGAGTCAGGGACTGTTTAATCGTGAAGCCTGGTAAAATGTTTTATAGCACAAATAATTCCTCGGTGGCTTGGCCAGATTCAGTGTGTTAACAGTGTGGTCCAATTAAAAGCTGTGTTTGGATTGGGACCTGGGATAGGCGGTTCCTTTGCCAGTAGGACCCAGTAGATAGGGCATTAATGGGAGTCTGAGGCAGAATATCAGGACCTGATGGCTCCCATTGGGCTTACAGGAACCTTCAGCCACGTGCTTCAGGCAGCTGATTACACAGCCACCCATCAGATCTACGCTCACCATTCCCTTGTCCACTTGATGGCTTTCAGCATCACCATCCGACGATCAGCTCACACCTCCCAACCCATCACGGTCCAGCTCCAGGCTCCTTTTGTGCCAAAGAGCCAGGATTTGGACCTGAACCAAGGACCAGACTTCCAGGGAGCACAGTGAGTTTGGGTCGTGGGGAGCCTTACCCTGAATGCATCTTTCGTGGGCTGTTGCACGCTGCCCCGCTCACTGTTAGGAAATAAATTGCAAAAGTAAGGGTAGAGCTTGACTGAAATGGTAAGTAACGTGGAGGCTTGTGCAAGTCTGCTTCTTCCTGGCAAAAAAAACCCCAACTCCAGACTAAGTATAGAAACAATTTTATTAGTTGCAGCTCCAGAATTATTACTTATGCTGACATTTAAAATGGCAATGAAGGCCGCAGAGACCAGATGTGATTTCAGAGAAGTGAGTTTGGGGAAGATGGTGAGTTTGGAGAAGATGACCTCTAAAAATGGTGTGCAGGAACCGTTGTAATGAATTTTAGTCTCCTGTGCTTTGGGGGTAGGATGGCAGCTGAGTTGGAACGTGGGGACAAGGGTCCTAGGTGGGAATCACAGAACGTCAGGGATTGGAAGGGACCTCCAAAGCTCATCCAGTCCAATCCCCCTGCCGGAGCAGGAACACCCAGATGAGGTTACACAGGAAGGCGTCCAGGCGGGTTTTGAATGTCTGCAGAGAAGGAGACTCCACAGCCTCTCTGGGCAGCCTGGGCCAGGGCTCTGTCACCCTCACTGAGAAGAAGTTTCTTCTCCAATTTCAGTGGAACCTCCTGTGTTCCAGTTTGTGTCCGTTACCCCTTGTCCTATCATTGTTTGTCACCGAGAAGAGCCTGGCTCCATCCTCGTGACACTCACCCTTTAAATATTTATAAACATGAATGAGGTCTCCCCTCAGTCTCCTCTTCTGCAAACTAAAGAGCCCCAGCTCCCTCAGCCGCTCCTCAGAAGGGAGATGCTTCACTCCCTTGGAATGGGAGCCTGGCACTCAGCTGCTGGGGGAGGTCCCCTCTGCATGGGTGGGTGTGCACGGAGTCCCACCAGCTCCTCTTTCCCTTTGCCCTTTGCTTGCTGTCTCCACAGCTACCTCTATGGGAAGACGCGGGTTCCCGAGGTGGAGAGGGGACCCCGTCCCACAGTCCACATGCTCTGGACTCCCGTGCCACCAGCCTTGACCTTACGTGGGGAGGAGCAAGAGCGATGCTGGGAGTTCCTGACCGCTGTGGCTGAGAGAGAAGAGGAGGCAAAGAGGAGCTACAGCGAAGGGCTGGCCCTCATGGCTGCTGGTTCCCTGCACTCCTCCCACACCCATGCATGGGCCATGCTGTGGCAAGGGTGCTGCATAGACCTGGAGGGACCTCTGCCTTTGAGGCAGGCCCTTCGTGGGTGTCTCTACTACCTGCTGAGCTCCATCCCACCCCGGGAGAGCCCTGGCTTTCTCTTTCACGGCATCAGCCCTGGTGGCTTGTCCAACGGCACTCAAGGCGAGGACTACTGGGGACATGTCTTCTGGGACCAGGTGGTTGGAGGCTGCTGGGAGGCCTCCTCCTTACTCCCATGTACCTTGTCACCAGCCTCTTGTCAGAGAGCATCCTCCTGCTCCTTTTGTATCAGCCACCCAGACCCAGCTCTGTCCCTGGAGCTACTCACCTGGGTTGTCCTCTAACTCAAAAGCAAATTGTCTAAATCGAAGATGGATGCCCAGGGCTGCTGCATAGCCAGTGAGAGTGAGGGACCAGGAAAGACCCCCACCACAGGGAAGCCCCTTTCCCCAGGCTGAGGTCTGGGGTTAGCATAGTTCAGGTTGCTCACTTCAGGAAGCTTCAGGGTCTGGCTAAGAGCACAGCCACCGAATTTTAGCTGCTTAAAACAAGGCAAGTTGAAACCTGCCCTTCTCCTCCCAGCTTCAGTGGCATCAGTGAGCCCTGTTGTGCCTGAATCGTTGGAAAAAGAAAAGTGGTTTCTGTGATATTCAGCTTTTGAATGTAGGTTTAGTGTAAATTCAATAAGCTGGATGGGCTGGGTGGCTTTGCAGCTGAATAATGATTGTATGGTGTGAGCAGGAGATGCTGCTGAACGGTGCTGAGGTTCCTGTGCTATACCCAGTCTGGTCTTTCAGGGGTCCTGTGGACCTTCTGTGCTTTTTCCCCTCGTGATGTGTGTGGTTTTGACCCTCCCCAGAGCCTCTGGCTTTGGAAGATTTCTGCCTCCTTTGTCTTGTATGATGGGAGGTCCTGCTGGGATCATCCTAGTGAAATACTGGGTGGGTGACTGACAGAGAGCAGCAGACATGGGCAGAAACAATTCCTCATGGACTTATCCCTTTTAATAAGCCTACAGGACAGCACCTTTAAGTAGTCGCAAAATCACGGTCAGGGCACTTGGGATGGGGGCAGACTTGAAGGGTGAAACTTGTGGGAACATTTGAGTGCTCCACCAGCCAATCCCACCTTGCTTGGATGTTTCCAGGACACCTGGATGTTCCCAAACATCCTGCTGTTTTACCCTGAAGCTGCCCGAGCCATCCTGGAGTACCGGATTCGCACGCTGGAAGGAGCCTTACGCAACGCGCAGGAGCAAGGCTACAAGGTGGGGATGGAGATGTTGGGCTGAGGGCAATGCAACCTAGCTGCTGTCACCCAGGAGGACAGTTAGGCTCTGCTCCTCCTCTCTGGCTCTGGTTTTGGCCAGGGGCTGTGAGCAGAGCATTGCCCACAGGTGGTGGACAGGGCAGAACATCTCGAGATGTTGTGTTCAGCTGCCTCATGGATGTTTTCTCCTGGCAGGGTGCTAAGTTCCCATGGGAGAGTGCAGCCACCGGCCGGGAAGTCTGCCCTGAGGAGATCTATGGAGCCCAAGAAATTCACATCACTGGGGATGTTTTGATGGCCTTTGAGCAGTATTATTGCACCACGCAGGTAACAGGAGTGTGTGCCACCTGGATAGGCCAGTGGCAAAGCCTGCAGGGCATCTGGTGACTGTCCTTGTCCCTTCCCATGGAAGCTCTGCTGTTTTCTGCTCTGGTCAGAATTGCTGGGAGCATCCCAGGGATCCTTTCTTCAGTCCTGCCACTGTTCTTGCTCCTCCTGGGCAGCTCAGCATCCTGTTGGCTCAATCCAGGCCAGTTTTCTGACCTTTTCTCCTGCTACATCCATCTCCTTAGAGCTCCTGTTCTCCTGCTAAGTTTGGGCCTGGCTGTCTCCCTCATGCCCCCATTTTTCTCTGGCTTTGGCTCCCTCCAGGACCAGAAGCTGTTCAGGGAGGATGGAGGTTGGAAGCTGGTAGATGCCGTGGCTCAGTACTGGTGCAGCAGGATGGTGTGGAGCGAGGAGGAGCAATGCTACCATATCAAAGGTACCTCTGCAACTGCCAGACCTCTTTGTAGGGAAGGGGTTGGTGAGCAACAGCTTGAAGGTCCTCTAGCCAGACCTGGGTGGGAGTGCATGGGCTCTTCAGACTCCTGCCTGCTGGAATATCTCACAGATGATGTTTGTGTCCATGCGAACGTGGACTGAGGTGCTCAGCTCTCTTCCAATGCCACAGTATCAGTTGTTTTCTCTCTCAGCCCCTTGCCACTCATAAGAAACCTCTAAATGTCTCCTTCCATGGTGGTACAAGCCGATACCGCAAGCATCACCTTTAGGTCTGCTGTTGTGATTGGTGGCATTTGGGGAAAACAGAGTGCAAGGGCTTTAGAGAGGAAGGACTTTTCTGAGTTTAAATCCCATAAGAGCATGCAGGAGTTTAATCCCTTGCGGGACATCTGGTGTTCTTGGTGCCCGACAAGCACAACCACTGATGTGCCTGGCATGGCCAAGGGTCTCACTGCAGGCAGCAATCCTGCTGCGGCATGTCGTGTTGAATGAGCACAGGTTGCCACTGGTGGGCTGCTTCTGAAGGAGGGCACCGAGCGAGAAAATGAGAAGTGAAGGAGAGGTGTTGCTGGGAGGAGGGTCTGGAGGAGAAGGTTGGGTTTAGGGTGAAGGGGTCTTGGTGCAGCTCGGGTGATCAGAGCCAGAAGAGCCTCTGAGGCTGCTGCTGGCTGGCTCTTGGTGTGAAGATCCTTTGCATACAGCCCCAGTGCCCTCAAAGGAGTCACATATTTAAATGTCTATTTTCACATTTCCTTTGGGACGTGGCCGTCTCTCCTCTGGGGGATAATCTGCACAGAAGCAGTAAAGGAGGAAATTGAGATTGTAGCTAAAGATTTAATGACTTCACTTGAAAGAATTAATGACTTGAAGGTCACCTTGCTGGTGAAGTGAGGGAGATGCCCTCAGGTTGAGTTATCTGCTGCCCATCAGCCAAAGCTGCAGGCCAGGTTGTTTCTTCTTCACAACAAGCACCACTTATGTTCTTCTCTACTGGGCATTGCACTGAGATTGCTCTGGGATCCTGCCAGAAGCAGGAGTGCATTGCTGCATCCCAGAGCAATCTCAGTGGTTCCCTTTCTCCTGCCATTTGCCCGAGGAGGGGCACAAAGCCTGAGGTGTGAAGTATCCCCTTCCTCTTCCTCCAGGTGTCATGCCTCCCGATGAGTACCATCTCCAGGTCGATAACTCTGCTTACACCAACGCTGTGGCCCAGCGGAGGTAATGCCCATGCCTTGTTGCGGCACTGGCCACCCTCTCTTCTCTTCTGCTCAGCAGCCTGGCAGGGGTAGGAGGCAGCGTGGGATGCACCTTCCCCCTCTTCACATCCCTCTACTTCAGCTGGTCTCCTTCTGCCTGCCCTTACAGTCAGTGGGAAGAAGTAGGTGGTCCATGGTGGTTTATCTGACCTCTGTCAGGTGTCCACACGAGACCAAGAGGGATTTAACTTTGCAGAAGGGTTTCCCTGAGATGAGATGTCTATAAAATTAGCCAGCTGGAGACATCTAAAGGTGGAGAAATGAACTCCCAACTCCAGTGGTGAAAGCTGTTACCCGAATTTTCATCTTTGATCCGTGTTCTTTCAGAGTAGCTGTTTCTTTGCAGTTACGGCTCAATTAGTTCTTTCTGTTCCCTTTCTCCTCTTCCCATCTCTAGAGGGCCACAGTCACCTGTACCTGACATAAAGCATTGTTCCTCATTTCTTTTTAAGCTTAAATTTTGCAGCCAATGTTGCTCGGGACTTCTTGATCCCCGTGCCAGAGGAGTGGGTGGACTGTGCCAAGAAAGTCAAAGTGCCCTTTGATGTGGAGAAGAAATACCATCCTGAATATGACGGGTACAGCCCAGGTGAGCAGAGAGACAGCAGCAGATCTTTGAGTTGTCCACTGCTCGCTCTTTGTAAGCCTGCAAGAAGCAGGGGCTCTGACCGCTTCAAACACAGGAACAGCAGCTGAGCGGCTGGCCAAAGGAAAAATCTCTAGCGTTGCTCTCCAAGTGCAGCATTTGGGTTGCCAGTGCGGAGAACCTGACTTGGAGGTGTTCTCTTTGCTGCTTGTGGGATTGCTACTCATTAGTGGGCTCATAAAATTAGGACATTTGAGAACGCAGAGAGTTGGAAGAGACTTTTAGTACCAGGCAGCAGACGACGTGGTTGCTATGAGCCCATTGCTGACAGTGAGGTCTCTCTTTCCAGGGTCAGGTACCATGTGTTGTCCTTCCAGCAGCCCCTGGCCCTCTGGAAGCGAAGGGGCTGTTTCCAGCGCAAACACACTCCCTGTTTAGCACCCCTTTCCTCATGGTTAGGGTCAGGGTTATCTGGGTGCACGGGAGCTATTCCTTTGCACCCGAAGCTTAGGTGACACCCGTCTGGGTGCCGTTGTGTTAGGGCTGTGCCAGCGTCCTGCCTTGGCACATCATCCAGCAGACAACACAGCACCAAGGACAAACCATGAACTGCTCTTCTGATCTGCCTCCGGCAAGGCAGCAATGATCTGTCCTCCCTGCAGTTCTGCTGTTGGTGCGGTGTTGTTCAGGTTTATGGTTCTGAGTGAGTCAGCTTTGTTGCCTGGATGAGTAAATAGACAATCAATCTGCCAGGCTTTCCCAGGTGACATACGTGGTCTGACCAACTCCTTTCCCTAGGTGAGCGTGTCAAACAAGCTGATGTTATCTTGCTTGGATTCCCACTGATGCACCCCATGAGCCCTGAAGTCCGGAGAAATGACCTGGAAATGTATGAGCCCGTCACTGAGCTGGATGGTCCAGCCATGACCTGGGTAAGGAGAGGGGCAAAGCCTCAGGGGTAAATTCATCCACAAGGTGGGATTCATCCGTAACGTGGTGGTTTCCAGCTGAGTTAGTCACCACTAGCCTCATTAGCAGGCACGATTTGTCAGACCTGTGATAAACTCTAAGGGAGTGGGGGCAGCGCAGAGCTGGAGATGTGCCCTGCAGATACCTACTCTGAGTCAGAAGGATGCCGGTTGTGGTGTCACTCCAAGGGTTTTGGTGTATTGTCACCCCTGGGGGTGACAGCTGCTGGAGGAAGAATGGGTTTCTCTCCTGCAGAGCATGTTTGCAGTGGGCTGGCTGGAGCTGAACGAGGTGCAGAGAGCCCAGAGCCAACTGAACAAGTGTTTCAGCAACATCACGGAGCCCTTCAAGGTCAGTTGCATGGCATGGGTGCTTATCTGTAACAAACACCTCTGGTTTCTATCTTGTCCCCAAGTAGGTGCCATCACACTGAGACATCCCTTGGTCTGGAGCCTGTGCTGACTGCACTTGTGGTCACTGAGATGTTGCTATGTTGAGCTAGGAGGTTGCATGCTGTCTCTTCTCTGCTTCCGGAGAGCAGTAAGGAAGTATCTGCTTCCTACCAGGCAATACAAAGCCACAAGTCAGTATCAGGCTCATCTCAGGCTTCCTTCTGCCTGCCAGGGATGGGAAAGGGAATGGAGATGGTAGTATTTAGAGACAAACCAGAGCCCACCCACCACCTTGTGCCAGGATGGGCAGCAGGGCATGGTTGTTGCAACACCCCAGATGTGACAGTGATGATGATAAGATAGTCAAACCTGTGAAACTCTATGAAGGGTCCCAATGCAACTGTTGATTTCACTTCTTTCTCTTGCTGGAGCAGATCTGGGTGGAGAATTCAGATGGGTCAGGAGCTGTGAACTTCTTGACGGGGATGGGTGGATTCTTGCAAGCTGTCCTCTTTGGCTACACAGGGTTCAGGTGAGACCTATGTTATGTTGTGTTTAATTTCTAAGCAACTACATGTCACTTGAAACCCTACTGTTTAGCTGGAGCAATGTGATCTTACTCATGAGACTGAAAGGAACTTGAAGCATCCAGAACATCCTCCAAACCTCCCAGCAGGTAATGAACAAACAGGAGCGTTAATGATCTTGGACGAGCTGTGGATGCTGGGGACAGTCACTAGTGGAGAACAGGGTAGAGTTATCAGAAATTATAAGCTTCGGTCCTTTTCTCCTCCAGCTATGTCAGTGTTGAAAGCTGTTTGCCTTCAAAGAAGTCAAAGTTAGGCCAACGCTGAGCTCCTCAACGCTGATTGATGCCCTCAATGAAGAGGGGCATCTCTGTATGATATCAGGATTGGGGCTAGCCTGTATCATTTTAATGTCTGCCTATCAGAAACACATCCAGACCTGCCCACTCCATAGATGGCTGCAGCTTTGGTTTCTTCAATAATTGTGAATGAAGCCTAAAGACTACAACCCACCAGTTACATTGGCCTTTTGGTGAACTTTTGGTTAACTAATCAAAGAGCAAGTGCATAGAACCACGTTGCAGGCAAGAACAAGGTTGTTGCTCACTATACATTATACCTTGTGCTCTCTCTAAGAGGACCTTTGTAAATGGAGACCCCGGTCCTCTGCCACCACACCGAGCTTTCGTAGGCCTATTCCCACCTTAAAGACTGGAAACAGATTCAGAACAACAGGTAGGAGTCTCCATCCAGGTCACTTGATGAGGTAGTTGCACATTTGGGCAGCTAAATGTCGCTCCCTGTCCTCTGGCTTAACAGTAACATCATCCTCTCTCCTTTGGATGTGGTGTGAAAAGACCTCCTGCAGCCCCCTGAAGCCATCTGCCACCTGCATGCACGTGGCTCTGGAGAGGACAGTGATCAGCTGGTATTGCCACAGCATTAAAATATCTTAGGGAAAAAAACCCAACACGTTAAGACGTTCATATCATTTCAAAGCTGTGTCTCATGTCCAAAGCAGCCCAGTGGTTTCAGCCCTGAAGCAACAGTCTCTTGAACATATTCTTAGTGTAATTGAGGATGGATCGAATTGACAAGCCTTTTGATTTCCAGCGAACTCCTCTAGCACTAACTATGTGTTTTTTACTCTGTCTGTGTGGCCAGAAGCTGCTGAAAAACCCACCAGTCTCTTGGTGGAGCTGGGTGTGAGCTCCCGTGTTTCCAGCTGAAAACCCATAATCCCAGGCTTTGCAAAGCTCAGAGGTCTTCAGCTGCTCTGTGTGTGTCAGGTTGGGCCTCTCTCGGCACTGGCTCAAGCCACAGGCTTTGGGGATCCAGCCAAATTTCCACAGATAGTGAGACGACATTTATGAAGCCCTCAAGGTCATGCTCTTGCCTTGCCCACTGTAAGCCACAGACCCTGGCTGGTGCATGTGCCTACCACTGAGGCTCTCCAGCCTCTTGAGCCTCTCTTGAGTCCTCATATAGTCCACATATAGTGCCTTTTAGAGTAATGGCAGATGAGAGCAGATGCTTGCTGCTCAGTATTTTGGCTGAAGCTGGACTTGCATCCTAAAAAATCCCACCCACAGCCACCTCTTGAACTCCTCGTGTGGCTGGAGTTTTTAGTTCCAGTACATGGCCCAGAGCTTGCACCCATAGGTTTGTGTGACTGGATTTCAGTGGCAATTCCTGCTTGGGGTCCATGGCCACCTAAGCTCATTCCTGTGTCCCGTTCCCCTCCCAATCTTGGAAAGGAGCATTTCCAAAAGTTTTGCAAGCATAGCTGCTGCTGGAGCCAACCTCTGAGCTGGAGCAGGGAAATGAGCTGCCTTGGAAGAAAAATAATTTTTTATCTTTAATTTTAAAAATCCAGCTTAATGAAAACCACAGACCCAGCTGAGGAACTGGAATGGGGACAGGAACATCTTAGGGTGCTGGGCTGTGAAGCCGTGACCCAAGGACCTCTTTACCATATGCTCCATCAGCGTATTTGGGATTTTCCTGGAGATCTTTGGGATGCACTGAGGACTCTTTCTGCCCACAGATGTATGAGGCTGCGCTGCTTGGGGAGGTGGCCAACCCCCCAGAGCCGCTCTCCTCTGTGGCCACCCTTTGTTCCCCCTGTTGTTGTGCTCCTGCCTTCCCAGGATCACAAGGTCCAGTCTCCGCTTCAACCCTGCTTTTCCTGATGACATCAACAAGTTGAAAGTCACCGGCGTCTCCTACTTGGGCAACAAACTGAAGTTCACCATCACCAAAAAAGAGATCAGGATCAAAGTGACCGAGTCTTCACGGGACCCTCCGGCATCTCCTCTGGAAGCTGTGTTGGAGGAGTCAGGGCAGCAGTTTCCCCTGCATGAAGGTATGGTGTCATCCCCTGCTTCCTAAAATAAGGACAATTTGGAGGAGAAACCATTCCTCTATCTCACACGGGTTGGTTTCTGTTGTAGGGCACAGCGTCTCTT